AGTCGCCTTGAGGATTCTTATATCCGATTTTTTAAAGTACTTAATTTAGCATTCATGTTTTTTAAATGTAACTTTTTTAATCTATAAAAACTTTCTCTTATTCATTCTCTTGTAGTTGAAAATCTTAATCATGACACAATATAATTCGACTTTATGGAATCATTAAAGGTAAAAAATAAAAGTCCTGTCTTTATAAAATTGAATCTAAGTTTAAATAAATCTCGGATTTAGGATATTCGAAACCTTTCTAATCATTCACAGCATTAAAAACTATGTTGGTCCAACTTTCTAAAAGATCTGGATAATCTTCTACGAGACGAAAAAATCTGATATTTTCAGCGTTGGAGTTCTGTTATGGGTGGTTTCTAGCGGTCGCACTCCATCCAATAAATATGGATATGAAATTATTTTTGAGAAAGAATTGAACGCCTCCTGAATATGTCGAACTCTCTCAACAATATTGAGACTACACGAGCAAATCGCCCAAGTATAGATAAGTAAATTCTAAAGAAATAGTTTGGTCAACGCCAGAATCTCTTGAAGTTTACCATCAGATAACGATAAAATAAAATTTTTTGATTTTCCGATAAAAAAGTCATTGGGTTTGGTGAAGTTTATGGAGCAGAAGTGAAAAACGAAGAAAAGTGTCTTTGTCTATATGACGAGAAACACACCGAAGAACAAATAATAAATTTATCATAGAGGTATTTATCGTATTTAAAGAATAAACTAGTAACTAAAGATTTATAAAATTCACAGTTTGTATCAAATATTCATTAATTAAAAATGTTTATTAAATTTAAACATAATTCGCTTTTACAGAATCACTAAGGTAAGTGTATATATAGTTATATCTTTATAATCAGATCTATAATAGCGCTCAAACGACTTTTATTTAGAATACGATACACAAAAATATTTGATTGTTATGAAGTATGCCATGACGGAATTCTCGAAAATTACTTGAAAGAAAATTTTTCCAGATTTACTATTTCATAAAAAGTTTAATTAGAATATTTGAAGTTGTCTATTAAATGGAGAGATAGATAATTACAGATTAGATTTCAGTAAAGTGAGTTTTTCATAACTTGATATACTATCATGTCTAACGGAATGTTCGAAAAGGTTTTTAAATTTCTTACTACTTGTATTTACAAAGTGGGTGTTTTGGCTTCATTTGCGATTAATCAAGACTTTTAAGAGATAATGCCTGTAATGGTTGGGGTGGGTTCATCAGTTTTAGTCTTGTCAGTATTGGTCGTAGATGTCTTGATTCCTTCGTCAGCAGGTTCAACAATTTGATATTTAATGTTCAGCTCTTTACACATATATTCCACTGCTTCGTTTTGCACTGACGTTAATGCGCTGCGACGCCATTCTACATAGTCTCCAACCGCATATGCATTGGGTATCCTTTCGGATAGCCATTTATAAAAGCTTTTCATCTCTGCCGCCACACGTTTACTATTAATTTCACTTGGATTCGGCCAAAAGTTCTGAAAAATTTCCAATACGTCCTTACGATTATCGAGATACCTGGTCCACTTGGTCCCTCGGTCTCCTTGAATGCCTTCCAAGTTTAATAATTCCCACTGTTCTAGAGATCAAACACAAAAGTTAATAAAATATTCACAGTGAAAGCAAATAAGTTTTTA